CTCTTCTCCCTTCACACTCTCTCACCGCACCCCCACCCTGCGCCTCCACCTCCTCCCCATTCTCTCTCCTCTCCCTGACCAGGGAGACTTGAACCCCCGGGAGTGGTCTAGAGGATAGTGGGCTGGGGCGCCGCGAAACGGCCCTGGTTCGGATCCGGGAGCTGGAAAAGACGAAAATGAGAGTTTTTGTTTTTGCAAGTTGTTAGTTGGCGATGACATGACCCGGATCTAAATGGAAATTAAGGAAAAGCTAACGAAAAGCTGACTAAAAAGTAAAAACTAAATTTTAACGCCCAACTTCTAACACGTTGAAAGATTAAATTAAAGATCTAGTATCTAGAAATATATAAATTAAATAATTACATCCACCTCTTATATTTTGATAATGGATTAGTAGGAACAGTCTATTAAACCCGGTCTAATAAAATTTCTGGCAAAAATGGTTAGAGAAACCTTCCTGATGAAGGAAATTTCGAAAACATCCGTAACTAAAAATGTTTTTTTTTTACAAAATTAACAATAACAATTAACGACATCTAGTACAAAGATTAACTCGCAAAACGGCAAACCGAATTTGTAAATTAATAAAATTGGGTAATGGGTTCGATTCATATTTTTAATTTATATTTATTAGCAATAACAAATATCGGTCAACAAAGGAATTGCAACGGCACATAACAATTGGAATCGAAATGTAACAACGGAAATCTCAACAAATTATTCTAGAATCAATTTTTACACGTAAACCAGGGTTGAAAAGCCGCTTCGCGACTTTTCAACCCTGGGCCCGTCTGACCCCATTTTAACCTTCACTTTGCATAATTGTCCTGAGTTCAGATGACAAAAAAGGAAAAACAAACTCTTCTACCTCTTTATATAGTCGAAGCCCCACTTCCGGCCTATGCTAATTTTTCCTAACAAAGAAGTTTTCACAAAAACTTAAATTTAATGTCGAAAATAGGTAATTTTGTTAAATCTCATATGCGTGCAGTCATCTCCAAACCATTACGCACCTAATGACGTATCAAGCATACCTTAAAATTCATCCCCCCTATCGAGATATCCTCCGGACAGACAGACGGAAGTGGATGCAAAGTGCCACACACAGACACATACACACACAGATATCCAATAGATAGTAGGAAGTAGGATATCCAAGATTGGGCTATATTCAAATACAACAAATTTTAAGTGGAAAGCCGCTAAATAAAAGGTAATAAGAGCTAAAACAGTTTATTATTACTATTTCATCAGCTCATCAAGTGCCGGGTGGTATCTGGCCATGTGAGTCCGGAAATGGCCGGCCTTCTGGAACGAGATGCAGCACGTCGGGCACCTAAATTACAGATAATCAAAGTGTAGTAAGTATAAAAAAATATATAGGAATCATATAAAAATTAGTTTAATCTAATACAACAAAATCAACTTTAAAACTCACTTGTAGCACTCCTCATCAGCTGCGTGGGCGTCGGCAACGTGCGTTCGCAGACTGTCAAAATCCGAGAAGGGCTGAAAAAAGTTATATAGATTTTTTTAAAAAAGAGTATACCTTCTCGCACTCGCCGCAGATGCTGAACCATGGGACGCCATTTGTAAGTGCGTTGCCCTAACAAGCATATTATTATGAAAAAAATATCTTTTACCTGTTTGTGCTCCCTGGCGTAATGGACACGCGTGTGCTCTCCATCCAAACCAACGAATGCGCATTCTGGACATCTGAAAATCAATTTTTATGCCGAATTTTTAACTTATCTAACTACTTTTTTTTATAACAATAAAGCATTTTTTAAAAAAACATGATGAATTTCCTTAACTATAGTTTTAAAAAAAAACGAATTTTTAGAAAGCCAAAAAATTTTTAGTTTTGATCGAAATCAGCCATTTTTGGTCGATAACTCGGCTCTTTTTGCATGTTTTATCAAAAGTTTTAACGTTTTTACGTTTATAAATAGTAAAAACCAGCTTAGAAACACATTCTCTATTCATAGCGGGAAAATTGGATTCCTAGAAAAAGGTAGCCCCCCCCGATAATGCAAAAGAACCAAATCTCTAATCGCAAAAAAGCCCCTACTTCGCGCCCGTTGAGATCTTCGGAAGATGCGAGACGTCGATCGGCTCCAGCTCCGATATTTCGGGCAGTATTTTTTCGACCTAAAAATGATGAAAATACGCATCGAACAGGCCTACACACCTCCTCCGCCGGGTCGCACTCCATGTCAAAGGCGGCCGTCCGGTCGCGTAACATGCCGCCCCCGCGGGTCAGCAGCTAAAAACAAACAATATTCTCAAAAAAAATTCTATCAAACTCACCTTTTTCTGGTATTCCACCTTCGGCGAGTGCAGCTGCTTGAGGATGGGGCCCTGGCCGAGCCACTCGAAAACGTCGCGCACGTTCTGAAAAAAGTATGCTTACATTAAACTGAAATTTGAACTTTAAAAAAGCGTATTTTTTAATCTGTTTTAGGTTTGCAAAAAGCAAGAAAAGAGCATGAAATTAAAATTTAAGTCATACCGTTGGGGAGGCCGGGGCCTTTTCCACCGGCACTGGCTTCTGCTTATTGTAAAAATCGAAGGCGCCCTCGTATTTCGAGTCGTTGTAGACACGGCGTCGGTAGAAAGCGTCAGTGTGCTGGCGGCGGAAGTGAAAGCGGAGCTCCTAAATTTGTATATATTATTTTTATTTAGGTTTAGAAAAGAGTCTCTGAGCTCTTTTTTGCCATTCTAAAAATTAGCTATCGTTGAAGAGGAAAAACCATTCAGAAACTTCGAAAAGTGCTTGGAATTTTGAAAATTTTGGTCGAAAATTCGAATTTTTTAGCGATCTTGAAAAAAATATAAATTTTTGCGCTGAAGATATCAAGTAGAAATGACCGACCTCCTCGTATTTAAACGTCACATAACATGCGCTGCACGCGAACGGGCGCTTCGCGTCGATATAGGAGGCGAACGACTTTTCGACGGATAGGTGGGGCATATCCCGTTGGAACGTCGTGGTTTTCCTAAAAACAAGAAAGATCAGAAAGTAGCCAAAAGACTCACGACAACTCGACCGCCTTCTCGAAGGCCCTTTTGTCGAAATGATGAGCTCGCACTAGATGCCGAATTTGGTAGTATTCAACGCAGCTTCTTCGGAACGAGGTTGAAATTCTGAAAGCACCAAATTTGCTAAATAGATTTTTAATTGGCGTAATCTAGGCGTAAAAATCTTTAAATTCCACATTATAATTTTTTTAAATACGAAAATTCACCAACCTTTTTCCACAGCCAATCGGGCAAAGCAGTCTTTCCTGAAAAGTTAGAAAATCGGAAAATTCAGAGGGATTAGAACAGATTCAGAACTAATTCGCCTAGACATTCATTTCTACCCAATAAAATGAAAAAAACTCTTAAAACTACAAATTAACAAGGAATCGCTCACGTCTATAACGACTTCGTTCCGACGTCGATCTTTCCCATCGTTGTATCGGTTACACGGATGCCTGGTTTTCAGGTCTTGCAACGCAGGGTATTGAACATCACATTTTCTACACGTTAACTAAAGCAAAAGCTCATTATCAGTCGAAAAACATTACAAACCAGTCCATCTCCAAATTTCAGCCTGAACGGCCACTCCAAGTGGATCGAGAGTTCGGTCCTAAAATTGGAACAATTTTCTATCATCTAACCTTACGCAAAAACTCGAATAAATTCCTGTGCGGCATCCAGGTGGCCGTGTCGTCGAAGAATGTGGGCTATGTAACTTTCGAGCGGCATTTGGCCATGTTTGTCGCGCTTAATGTGGCCCTAAAATTGTAAAGTTTAAATTAACAACCTAAAATATAATTATTCAAAAATTTTAAATGACAAAACACCGATATTACGGCGTAAAGAGTAAAATTCACCTTGCAAAAATAGCAGGTAGATTTCTTGGCGTTGCGGGTGCAATTGGAAAAAACCGGCGATTCGAGGGCCCATTGGGAGGAGCGGAGGGCTTCTAGAAAAACAAAATTTACAAGGTATTTCATTTGTTTATATTTTAAAATGGATTTTTTTTTCTATTAAGGATCCGAAAATCACTTTCGCCTAAAACTATAAGAAACTAACCTGGATAATCATTTGGATCACCGGTTGCGTTCAATTCCGATGTCGACCCAAGCTTGATCCCCGAGAGGCCGTACGAGCTCGTGGAGGTAGATTGGCGAGACGAGTAGCCGGTAGAGGTATCGGAATCCTAAATCGTGATTTGAATTAAGCTATTATCGATATCTGCAGCGTTTTAGATAGTTTTTAAGCTGTAGTTTAAAAAAACGGCCCTGTGTCTAGTAAACTTTGAAAATGCATTCCTGTATAAAAAACCAACCTCAAAACAATCTAATTCCGGCGTGATCGCGCGCTTGGCAATATTGTAAGCAGATTCCATCGTAGCATCAATATCTAAATTCTCCAATATTATAGAGAAACCGCCAATATCCCACCTTCGGGCTCCGACTTCCATTTTCTTGGCGTCAAGGTATCGGCTTTCGTCGGGGTGACGAGCAGCTCGTTGTGCATCAAAGACAGCAGCGTCCGCTTCTGCGGGTACTTTTCATCCGAGAAACAAATATCGTAGCGCTGCTGCTCAGGTCTAAAGGAGGAAATGAAGATCCAAGATCAAACTAAAAAGCTAAAAACTTACAAGCTCTCAAACGTCGTCGAACCTCCGGAGAAATCTCCAAAATGAGAGTGCACTCTCGCCAAATGACTTTCGATCCCATCGGCACAATCAACCCGCGAACAAAAACGGCATCTAAAATTTTTATTTTTCGTTTTTGAAATCAGAAACATACGCCGAATCCGTTGCATGCGCTGCTAAATGGGCAAACCGGAAGGTGGCCGTCTTTCCGATGAATGAACAGAGCTAAATCAAAATATTGACGACATCAAGATGTTATACTCTACCTTGCACTCCGTCCTAGCTGGCCTTACCGGCATGACCAGCGGGCTTTCCGATACCACCTCCTCCCTGGGGAAAGTATTATAGCTAACAACTTCTACCTACTTTTTAATAGGCGGCCGACGGATATTTTCGCGTAGACGCGCCATTGCTTCCATCCGCAATTGCCGCTCCGCTTCAGAAACGGGCGTTTTCTGAAAAAGATCTTAACAACGTTGAAACGCTCCTACCCGTGACTTAGCCGAGTCCAGGAGGCCAGGAGAGCCGTTTTTCAAGCGCCCCGGCGGCATCGTAAATTTTCTAAACGATATAGTTAGCTATATTTAGCGTTTTTCAAAGTTTAAAAAGGAAATGAAAAACGAAAACTGGCGAAAACCCAAGCCTTCACATATGGAAGGCAAGCGCAGAGTAGCGTCGTTGTGTGGAGTGTGGCGTACTCATTTCGCTCAACCTTGAAAAAATTCGTGAAAAGCTACAAAAATTCGCAAAAGAGTAATAAAATGGATTGCTGAACTAATAAAAGGGTCAACATTTGAAAAATCGGATTAGAGCTATTCAGAAATACCGCCAATTGCCTCGCCTTTTTCAGAACATCGGCCAAAATACGATCCGGAGTAAAAAAATCTGGAATATTGTATCTTTCTAATTATTACGTTTGCAGAAATTAAAGGGATAGCGCAAGCAGCAGTCCACGTGTTACGTGGATTCGCGGAACTTTGCCAGATTTAGCTGGGTTTGCGCATAGCAACATCCTTATCAGCAAATCTGAGCATTAATGAGAGGATTCGAGGTTCGATCCGCTATTCTTATTTCAACAGGCTCGCTATGTTTTTTCTCATCTGTCGACGGCAATCGCAGGGCCGTTGTGATCGCTCGGGGGCCCCCGAAATGTCGCGCCGACGCTTCTTTGCGTTCCGAAATGCGCTGGATGACGGGTTGTTTGCTCGAACCGGCAGATCAAACGGAAGGCTAAACAGATCCGTTAGGCCGCCAGCCAATTTTTCTGGAATTTGCTTGTTTTTGGGTTTTAGATTATTTTTATGCTCGTGGTCAACTAGGTGTTCAACGACGCTTAATTTCAGAATACTGAAAACTTTTAAAACGTTCTGGAAATTCATGAAAAAACTTTTTTTTTGCCGTGGTCACTCGATTGTTGATCTGGGTTCTTTAGGATTTCCGGGGGAAGTATTTCCGGGGGAAACCAATTTTTTCGGCCCAAGCCTAAATTTTTTTCTAAATAGCGTATGCGTTTCTAAATGGTTTTTAACTATTCCTGAGCATAAAAACTACCCACATTTTACTTAAAAAATTTATTTTAGGTCGAAAAATCCTATAGAACCTTTAGGATTACCGGGGGGGAAAGACCCAAAATGACCAATTTTCGACTTTTTCTAACATTTTTCTAACTTTTTTGTAAGGTTTTTCTACTTTAAATATAGTTAAAATTTACTAAAAACAATGTGAAAACACTTTATATTTGATTACTAGGTCAACCGAGAAAACCAGGAAAAATTTGGTTTCCCCCGGAAATACTTCCCCCGGAAATCCTAAAGAACCTTGGTCTTAAAATACTAAAAAATTCGCGAACTATCCATTATGTAGCCGAGGAGGCCTTCACCTTTTTTTGAACACCCACGACTTCCCGTCACTTTCTTTGTTTCAAAAATTTAAAATTCATAACTGAAATTTTCTAGCGTAGTTTTGTGCTTATGCGGCGACCGGGTTCCCAAAAAAAATAGAGAAACCCTTTCAACAAGAATTTTGTGATTTAAAAATAGCTCAAAAATTGGCTTCACTGCCGAATGCGACACATGTTTCGTATCGCGACTGTAATGCTTCTTCTCCCCACATGGGTGATCCCTATGTATTTGGTTGACCACTTTCACCTGGCGCTTTTTGTAGAATTACTGAAGCCCGCAGCGAATGAGAGTAGTTTAGTACTCGTATTTTTAATTTTTCGGAGAGTTTGGTTATACCTGACGACTATAATTTAACAAGTTAAGGTTTTTATAATATAACCTTTTTTGCGCGATTCTTACAGTTTTACAACCGGCTTTTCAAGAACGGAAAATCTCGAAACGATTAAAATACGTTTATTAGACGCGAAATTTTACTGTATACTTGTTTCCAAACTTATATTTATTAAAAATACACTAAAAACATTATATTTCCCGAAAGTAGCCCCCTCGATTCAGGTTTTCCACGATGTATCCCGTCCCTTCAATCGCACAAAGTGGATTAGCGGGTCCATGCCTCAGCTACAGAATTGGTGTCCATTGTCCAGTCACGTACTGAATAACCGGATCTTACCATCTCCAATTCGTCAGTATACACCGACTATTCCAACATATACATAAAATGGCCCATTTCTGAAGGGAATCGAACGTTTTCTTTGAGGCAGAACTTTTCCGAAGTGTGTGATTAGGGTGCTCGATTTCTGGAGTCGAGGCCTTGACCGGAAACTAACCGCTTATTAGCGAGCGACACGAGGCCACGCAACAGACCTCAAGTATTTTTTCGGGGTGTTCGACCTTTCAAAGGATGTCATTTTCCCAGAAAACAGGTTTTTTTTGGAGGTTAGGAATACGGTATTTTGTAAAATTCTGACTCATCCAAAGTCTATAGCCCCAGCTTTCTCTCTCTCTCATCCAATCCCTATGCCTCCAGCTTTCTCTCTCTCTTTCTCTCTCTCTCTCTCTCTCTCTCTCTCTCTCTCTCCATCATCTCCAGAATAAGCGTTCGCCCCATCAACATCCATATCTCCCATCCGCCGCTGTCCGTCAAGAAATTATGCCAGGCCATTCATCACATGGCCTTCCCAGGCCAGCCAACCAGTGGCCCACGTGAAATTGGAGTCCCAAGGCCAAGGAGAAGGCCCACCTCAGCTGGGCGGGCAGGCGAACGGGAGCCCCCAATTTGGGCACCACTAGAATATTTACCCGGCCGCATCAATGTATGCTTGGAATAGGTTTTGGTCACTGGTCTGTCATTAGTAGCCCTCTAGCGACGGATTGGCTATAATGTTTGATGTAGCTTTTTGTGTCGGTTTTTCTGTTAATAGCGTCAAGCTCCAACTGCCTTCTGAAAAATGATGATAAAAATGGAAATTGTATGCTTTCTGCCCTATTAGGATAGATAATCTCTGTTAGCGTGCCTTCCAAGTGTGTTTAAAATGGTTAAAATGTCTCAAAGTTTCAATTCAGCTAGTTAGGCTCTTTCGCTCTCTCACTCTCTCCATATCGCTCTAACTTTCTCGCTCGTTCTCCTCTCAAACACTCCTTCTCACCCAATAGCTCTAGCTTTTTTTTTAAGATTTGTTTTGGCATTTTTTAGGATTCCTAGAAATGTTTTCGGATTAAATCTTTTCTTTTTAAGCTTTCCAAATCGAGTTTGAGCTATCTCTTGCTCTAGCTCTCTCTTAAACTCGTGTCCGCTTTTTCTTTGGAATTTTCAGAACTTTCGGATCATTTACCCACGAATTCTATCCTGATCTATCGGCTCTCTATCTACCTATCGCTCCCCTCCCCCCTCTCTCTCTCTCTCTCTCTCTCTCTCTCTCTCTCTCACTCTCTCTCTCTTTCTCTTTCTCTCTCACTTTCCTCTAACAAACACAAACATTACGCCATAAACACGAGTGAGTGACCATTGTCGGCTCGGCTTGCCATAGTAGTCCATAAGTGGCCCACCCTGGCTGCCACAGTGGTCCGTTATGAATTTCGGGGCCCGTCAGCGTCCGCCGGGCCCCTTGTTTCCCCTAGTTTTCCGGAGCACTACTATGTGCACCCTCGCCGGGCTACCCCGGATATTTTGACCAATGCATATAGGATAGCCCTGACCGAGAGAGCTATGAATAGGGAATGGTATTAGTGAAATTCAATGCTTGGTTCTGTATAAACTGCCTAAAAAAGCTTTTAGGCTGATTGATAAACTATGAAATAAGGTCGACAATCCAAAAAGCAAACCTTCCCCAACTTTTCCTCCAAAAAGCAAAAAGCTTAGCAGCGAGTGGTTTCGATCCACCGACCTCTGGGTTATGGGCCCAGCACGCTTCCACTGCGCCACGCTGCTGTGGGATCGGGTCTGTCCAGGGTGGCTCAAAAGGGGACAGCCGCCTGGCGTTCACCACCCCAAGGAGCTGTGCCCCAATTTGTCGGCCATCTGCCTCGTCGGGGGCTGCTTTCTGTTTTTGGGATTTGGTTCAGACAGTCGATTCGGTAGAGTAAAAAAATTGCCTTATTATTGGTTACGATATTATACTATTTAACCTTGTTTCTTAATTTTTAACGTAATTTTTCTCTAGCTTGTATTTTTGCAGCATTACCACGCGTTGTTTTGGTATTTTTAAAACTTTCTTGAGTTTATATGTTTTCTGGGTATTTTCTTACCCGTTTCTAGGTATTTTATACTCCTAGACATCTCTATAGTTTTCTTTGATAATATCTACCCCCAGACACAAGCGACACGATAATTCAAAGAGCGTGAAATTACCTTAATGAGAATTCTACGGAATTACGATGATACTTTGTTGTCTAATTAGCCAAATAAGCCGTTCCCAGAAAGTAATTATTTTCCGCTTTTTTTTCTCAGAGATCATTCAGTCGCCTGGCATCTGGAGATGTCCCGGATCTAATTAGTCGTACTTCTGGATGGATGGCTGAAGAGAGAGAGAGAAGGAGAGAGAAAGAGAGAGAGAGAGAGAGAGAGAGAGAGAGAGAGAGAGGGAGAGAGAGACCCATATCACAAAAATTTGGACAAGCTCACACTCAGGGAATGTGTTTCCTCGTCCTCATCCTCTAAGATGTACATTTCTGAACACCCCCAGCCTGACGTTCGCTTGCCATGAATCGCTGACATTCGAATAGGCCCCCTACGTCAGTTTTCATCTTTTCAAGAGGAACCTCAAAAGGTCCTCGAAAAGGTCAAAGGACCTACACGCCATTGTTTCTGGGGCGCCGACCCGAAAT